TAGAGTTATAGCGGAGCTCCCGCTCGGGCCAAAGTCCCGAGCGAGCGAAGCACCATGGCTAAGAAAAAATGGTATATCCATCGAGTCGATTTTTCATGGACCCGACACAGTGTTCCCGCGCGTACGCACTTTTTCTTCCGTCCGTCCGGCTGTCCCGCGCGAAAAGGAAATAGAGCGTCAAAATGTTTATTGAAATATCGAGATTTTTTCCTCAAACATTTATCTTTCAAATTAATAATATTAGAAAAATTAATCACAAGAACAATCAAATCCAGAAGAGAGCGAAATCAAAGCACAGAAATATTCTCGCCAATTTTGTCAATTTTGTCATATCTTGTGTTAGGTATGTCCAAAATGAAAAAAATACCAAATTTATATATACTTCTACTCGAGCCGCCATTGTTTTCCTTCTCTGAGGTCCCCAATGCCCTCTGGGAATGCTTTTATTGTCTCCATGTCTTTTCAGAATAAAAAAGCACAGTATCTTCAGCGCTAGTCTCCTCGCAGCCGTTCCACAAACGGCTGCTACAATCCGAGCTTTTATCGTTTCCCTTTGTCTTTTTCCTTCTTGGGGGTCTATTTGAATTAACCAATCACATACCATGACAGTCTACTCCCGCTGTTACCGCTAAGCCAATGAGATGCAGCGTAATGAAAGTTGATATTTTGTTTGCGTCAAATTTCGTAAAACCGTTAAAACTTATCCGAATATATCAAGAAATCAGTCAAGATGTTTTACTTATTGTTCTTCCCTGCCGGTTAGCAAAGATAAGTTTTACATCTTTGGGAAAACAAGGACAGATAAAAATAAAATTATATCATTTAAAATTATAAAAGATTCTTTGCAAGTTTACGTAACCACGTATCCTGCCGATGCAGATTTGTTTGTCTGTAGACAATGTTTTCAAAGCTTGAATAATACTATCGCGTTTCAAAGAAACTAGAAGAAACACGGAAAGAGCTTGATCAGTCTTTTAAGTTTGTTCAGCAAGAGAAACGACCACGAGCAATAGTTAACAAGGGAATATGACGGAAGTCAGAGTGCCACATGTCAACACCAAGACCTGCGAAGTGTCATGGACGTTTCGTTGAATCAGCTCGAAAAATCAAGGATTTTACCAAAACCAGTTGGTAAATTAACAAACACATCTCAATTTTCATCTATAAGTTTTGTAATGGGGAGCTTCTGGGGCAATTTAAGCACGATATCTTGAATTTTTGAGCAGCAAATGCAGGAATGGAAAAAGAGAAAGGAATGGAAATTACCCCAAGTAAAACATKYGTARGGTTTAATAATCCAAATGGATATATTATCTGCCAGAAAGACGAGCAAAATACACTAGTGGCGCTGTTTGAAAAATAAGAGATTTGCCCGAGCCAGTAGGAAGAATAACAAGGAAATCTTTTCCAATAACAATCTCTTTAAGAGCCTTTTGCTGTATTTCTCTAAATTCGTCCAAGCTAAACGACTTCAGAGCGTTCAAACGAGAATCTCAAACGACGAATTGTCCGCCATTTTGTTACACTGCGACGACGGCTGCCTGCTAATGAAAATATCGGGGGCCACTCGCTGATTGGTCGAGACTGACAATAGCGAACCCCATGCGCCCAGCCGTCAAGGGAGAGAGTATCGCGGGCGCACGAAATCCCGACGGCTGGAGACTGAGCCTAGTNTAACAAACTCGCCTTATCCAAAGATCATTAGCAGAAATATTGCCCATTTTGCGCCCGCGATGATTTTGCAGCGGTAGCTACCATTGCAAAAACAAAATGGCTAAAGAGCTATCCTTCTCAGCTGTTAGATCTACTTTTCTCTCTACTCTTCCACTTCATCGACTTTTCACTTCTTGCTTTCTCCAGACTAGCTTGCACAGATTCCAGCGATTAGGTTTCTTTACTTTTTTAAACGCTAACTATTACATTATATCGCCACTTCGCCAAGTTTTCATTTCACATAATTTCCCGTCTTGTAGCAAAACCTTTTAATACGGCTGTTGTCAGATATTTCACTTCCGTTCACTGAAAAATTCACTTCCGTTATTCATAATATGCTAATTACACAAAAAAGTCATGGACATGCGCGACACGTTTCGAACCCCATGCGCCCAGCCGTCAGGGAAGAGAGTATCGCGGGCGCACGAAATCCCTACGGCTGGAGACTGAGCCTAGATAGGCACTGGTTGGTTTAAATATTCTTCGTTTTCAGGTTTACGTCACAGCGGCCATCTTGGAGGAACTTTACCAACGGATTTCTCAATGATATTTATTGTTTATTCCTCCAACATGCCATCCGGTCTGATCTATATATATGGAGAAAACAATAAATATGTCTTTGTACATACCTTTCAAAGTCAATTGTAGTCATACATGACATGACAAAACTAGTCGCCTGCTTGATAGAGTACCAAACATATCAGTTGGCATCGGAAGCTATTTAAATTTTTGCTTCTATTTACTAGTGAGGTGGACGTGGAGCTTTGCTGATATTTTCCTTAGCCAGTTTATAGCTAATCGGCTCTGCTGTTGCTGACTTCCATGCTGATCCTGTCTAGGTCAATTTTCTTAAGGTGTTTCGATCGTAATAAATAGCGCTTCGCGCGTATTTTTAAATACCAACTACGTCGCAAATATCGATTACATTGCACTCAAATTTTCACAGAAGTAACAGTGATTATCGATAATTCTTGTAGATAAATTAATTTGCCAAAAAGCGAAGCCATTTGGATAAACGATGCAAAATAAAAACACCTTTTTCTTCAATGTTGATTTTCTCGAAACTCATCGCAGATATTGTAATAAAATTTTCAGAATCATTTTTTAATAACATAATTGATATACTGACGAAGTTTCAATGAAATCTTAACCTAAAATTTCGAGTTGTTTAAGCAAAATGATGTACATTCGAACAAATCGAAATTTTAGGTTAGGATTTTATTGAAACTTCGTCAGTATATCAATTATGTTATTAGGAAATGATTCATGAAAATTTTATTACAATCTCTGCGATGAGTTTCGAGAAAATCAATTTTGAAGAAAAATGAAGATGTTTTTATTTTGCATCGTTTATACAAATGGCTTCGCTTTTTGGCAAATTAATTTATTAAAAAGAATTATCGATAATCAGTATTTTTTAACATATTTCTGAAATAACTCTTTGGGCATTTTTCTATCCTAACTAACAAAGGTGACATGGATTACCACTCCAAAGTTAGAGATAACTCACTGACCCACTTATTCCTGGGTATAATGGAAAAAGTTAAAAAGCTCTATCTTGGTGTGCCTCGTTCTTTATATGACTCCTCCGTTCTCGGTATTTATCTCTTACATAAATCTTTAGAATCACATTCTTGAATATAATTGGCTGTCTTTATGGGGGCCGTCGGCAGACATCCGTTTTAACGGTTCTTGAAACCGTTTTTACAGTCAAAAGACATGAAGCGTGAAAAAAAACAAAAACATTATTCAATTCATTATTTGATTCTTGGTCGATTCAACAGAGTACATTATTGAAATCAAATTTGAATTCAAACTTTAAAATCCGGTTGGATTATTGCCGAATACACACCTTTGACGGTCCCAAAAAGTTGGAAATGCCGTATTATTTTCCTTGATATTCGTAAACCACGTGCTATTTCGTTTTTAGAGTAACCCTGGTTACATTGCGCTATTATTTCCTCTCTAACGGCATTCTGAATGATAAAAACTACCGTATGTGTTTCGACCCCGCCATATCAGAGTTCGAGATTTGAATTTAATTTTGCATGAATCAACTGAAGTTTGAAAACGAAAAATAAAATGAAAAATCCAATAATGCATTGAATAATGAAGTCTTCAGGGGTCGCGCTTCATGTCTTTTAAAGTGCACCTTCACGATTTTTTTTATTATCTAAAACAATTTTTATGAACCTTGTAAGACTTTCTGTAAAAGTTTGGTGATTATTTTGCAAACGGTTGGGACGAAATCGGAAAAATAAAGCCAAAATTAAGTGCGTCAAATTCTTTTGTCCGAGCGGGGACTGGCGCGACTCTTGTGACGTCATCCCAGGCCATCAGTTCGGTCGCAAAAGACTAAAATGCCTTATAAAAGTCTATTTTTCTCACAAAAATCAATAAAACCGCTAAGATTGAATGTATCAAACCGTTTTATATTCATTGAGAATTGTCAAGCGCTTGCCGTGAACTCAGTAGATTTGAATTTCAGCAAATTCCTTGTCCTCGGCACAGAATACGAAATAGTCATTTGAGGCACTTCGAAATTTTTACCTCGCGNGTACCATGCACTCCAAATCCAATTTGGGAAGTCGAGCTAATGTCTTACCTTTGAAAAAGTAAGACTCGAAGCCGTGTTTCAAGACTCTAAATAAAGCACTCCACCAAGCCCCACATTGGGCGCCATATGTAGACTACACTTTTATTCCTTGTAACCTTGTAAGGATATTGTAATCTGATTTCGGGTACTTGTTCTTGTGCCTATTTCTCCAGTCTGCCTCAAACACGATGGCTCCACCCTTACGCTCGACTGACTCTGCTCTGCGTCCCAAACATGGATAAACCCCACCCACAATTCCCGGGGACGTGTTCCACAGGAACCCCACGCTACATTATGTTGTGCTGTAGCCATTTGTTTAAAATCAAAATAAGATGTCAATTTCCTTTCGCAAGTCCGGCATACTGCAGAAGGGTTTTCTTGTTCAATGTTTATGTCCAAGACGTCAAATATCATTTGATACAGGTTTTTCTTTTTGCCAGGCTTGCTAAAAACATCAGTAAAACGATTACGATGTTCGTCGCTTCCACAAAGACAACAGAAACAACTTTTTCCATCAAAATATAACTTTTTAGGAGTTTGAAGCGAAGGAGTTGCCATTTCGTTACTTTTTGGCTAACACCTCGCTGAAAACGCCGGTATTTTAGCCAATCAAAACAAAGATTTGCGCTTATCAGCCAATCAGAATTGAGAATCGARGGCTGTCTYTCTTGTTCGTGGGAAAATAGCAAMAATGKCCTTTCCCTTTATCAAATTTCTCAATGCCGTGCATTTTGCACAAAAGACAGCARGAYATGAAGATATATTCTTGAGAGTCAAACAGATCAATGTTTTGGAATGTTTGTATTTGAACTGGGACACAATAGGTGTCCTTCCAACTGRTTATGGCAAGTCAGTAATATTTCATTTGCTGCCGTTTCTTTACGATTTTCGGGATCTGCAATCAAGGAAAAGCRAAAAAGACAGCATGGTGATAGTCGTAACWCCACTGAACGCTTTGATAGAAGACCAARTTAATGCTTTGAATGCAAGAGATATTGGTAGTTGTGCACTTAAATGTGAAAACTTTAGTAAACTTCAACTCTCTGTGGAGAAGGATTATAGTAATGATTGTCGYATTATTTTCACGCATCCCGAGGCCTGTGTTTCTTCTCAAGAGGGAAGAGCGATATTGCTATCTGAGGTATATCAAGATCGAATCAAAGCATGTGTTATAGATGAGGCACACCTGGTGGAGGAGTGGGGATACCAGTTTCGCCCTGATTTTTCACGAATTTGTCAACTACGATCATTTTTCCCCCAAGCACCGTTTTTGGCCCTGACTGCAACTGCTCCAGAAGTACAAAGAAAAAAGATAGTTGAGGGTCTACATCTAGAAAAACCCCATATTGTAGTAGCAGATCTTGACAGAGAGAACATTTTCATCCACAAAGAAACAAGAAAACCTTCTTCAACAGTTCTACAAAGTTTTGAAAATATACTGCTTCCAGTTGCTGAGGAAAACAACTCACATCATATCCACTGACTTTCATTTTTCTACCTCTTAAATACTGTGGTTATGCCTATAGGCTGTTTTCACATGTGTTAGGAAATGCAAGTTACTATCCTTTAAGTGCCTCAAAAGTGCCAGAAAACTGTTTGTTTGGACAATACCATGCCCCACAGACAACAGAAATGAAAGATCAACTTCTCAGCCAATTAACAGGGAATGYCACAGATCAGACAACAAGAGTAGTATTCGCCACCATTGCTTTGGGGATAGGAGTTAATATCCCAAATGTGAGACAAGTAATACATATTGGTGCACCCAGAAATCTGGAGGCATATTTTAAAGAAGTTGGTAGGGCAGGTAGAGACGGCAAACCTGCCAAGGCTATGTTGTACTACAATGGAAATGACATTGCCAGAAATAAGCCTGGAATGACAGATTAGCCCCATGTAAGAGAATCCAGAGAACTAGAGGATTCCGGATTCCAAGCGCTGGATTCCGGATTCCAAAACATGGGATTCCGGATTCCAAACCTTGGGATTCCGGATTCCAAAACAATTTTTGTTTGGGATTCCGGATAATAAATGGCGTGATTTTCAGTGTTTTTTTTTTCCTGAAAATTTCATATTCAGCGTGTCAGTAGCCTGCGCAGGCCGCCGGCAACGCAGGCCAGCGCGTCACTAATTTGCACTGTCTCCAATATTTGCCGCACGCTCACAAACAAACTACATATATGAAGTACAGTAAAGTGCAGCATATATACATGCTATACGAACAACTGGATGTACGTTTCCATCTCTAGACAGCTAGATTTACACCGATAAAAGTCGAATCTTTCTAAGTATCCATTT